TTTTTTCATAAGACAGGGTTTCACCATGTTGGTCAGGCTGGTCTTGAACTCCCGACCTCAGGTGATCCCCCCTCCTTGGCCTCCAGAGTGGTCGGATTACAGGTGTGAGCCACCACGCCCGGTCCCCTTGTGTTAGATTTCTAACTCCAGCGTGCCCAGCTAAAAATGAAGACAACCAATTAGAATGCACTGAGCTATTCTGATTTCCAAGTAAATATTCAGCTATTGGAATAAGAATAAGAAGTTCTGGGCCAGGTGCAGTGGCTCACGCCTGTAATCCCAGCACTTTAAGAGGCCAAGGTGGGTGGATCGTGAGTTCTGGAGTTCAAGACCAGCCTGGCCAAGATGTTGAAACCCCCATCTCTACTAAAAATACAAAAATCAGCCGGGCACAGGCACCTGTAATCCCAGCTACTCAGGAGGTTGGGCAAGAGAATCGTTTGAATCCTGGGGAGGGGCGGAGGCTGCAGTGAGCCGAGATGGTGCCACTGCATTCCAGCCTGGGTGACAGAGTGAGACTCCAAAAAAAAAAAAAAAAAAAAAAAAGAATAAGAAGTTCCATTGCTTTTAGACCAGGATTCTTTTTCATATGGAACCAGTTTCTTGAAATATCCTCAAGGGTATCTCTGGACGTTCATTGTCATATGACACTTGAAGCTTGAAACCTGAAAGCAAACCACAATATGAGGGTTTAAAATATGGAACTGTTTGAGGGGATTTAACATTCTAATTCCACTGTCTCACAAACCTCAAACCCTAGAGTCAGTTCCATGCCCACTTACACACTAGGGAATTTCTCTAGAGCTCAGCTTCCTCTTCTATAAAATAAGAAGGCAATCGCACCTGTCAGAGCTGGCTAACTGCTGTAGCAAACTACTCGAAATCTCAGTAGTCTGACGCAATAAATGCTTATTTCTTCCTCATATCATAGTCTAGTGCTGTTTGGCAGGGTGGTCCTGTTCTCTCTCATCAATCAGAAACCCAGGCTTTTCAATCACATGGTTGCAGCATCTTCTAGAGCCTTGTCCTCCTCTGCATTTTGTTGATATATGAGGAAAAAGAGAAGATGTGGAGGACCACATGGGCTTTTCTTGTAGACCAGGCCTGGAGAAGGTTTCCATCTCCTCCGTCCACTTTCCAACGGCAAGGACTCAGTCATGTGGCTGCACCTATCTGCAAAGAAGCTGGGGAATAATCTGTTGGTGTGCCCTGGAGGAAGAGGAAACAGAGCTTGGTGAACATGTAATAGACATCACCACAATATTTACTCCAGAAGGTTATTTGGAGGATTAAGTGAGACAATAGATGTAAGAACTCATAAATGCCTCTAGATCATTAAATATTAGCTCTGGGCCGTTACTAATGTGCTCCTGCCTAGGGTGAGGCCCATCTACTCGATGCAGCGTACCTGGAAGGAACAGAGAAAGCCAAGGTGGTGTCTCCTAGCTTTATGCTACCTCCAGAGATAACCATAAAAAAAGAATCTTCAGAGCTGCCCCCCTTATCAGGCATCTTCATCTTAATTCATTCTAGATACATTTCATGGAATTGAGATGAGTGAGCTAGGAGGAGAGCCAATCTTTTCATCGTATATACTCTCAAATAACGCTGGCTCTTCTTGGCCACCATTACTCAGCGTAAGCTCACTTACTGTTAAATTATATCTAACCCATATGACCTTGAACTCTGAAAGATGCTGGGATTCACCAGATTCATTCATCTAGTTCTGTTCTCCAAGCTCCCACAGAGTGATTTCTTCTCAGCAGTGTACATCTGATAATCCCAATACCTGCTTAAAATCCTTCACTGTCTCTCCACTGAATTTAGAATAAAATCCAAATGCCTTATGCAGAGATAGTTATCCCCCATCCCACCCTCCAGGATCAGCCCCTGCCTCCCTCTCCAATCTCATTTCACATTGCTTTCTTCCCCTCCTACCTCATTCATTCCTTCAATAGCGATTTCTCCAGCCTCTAGTCTAGGCATTGGAGATAGAGTAAAACAGACAGTGTCCCTGCCCTGGTGGTGGGGAACTGCACTCCAGGGTGACTCCAGTCACAGGGGCCTTCCTTTAACTTACTCTCTGCCTCCATGCTTGGTGCTGGCTGTCCTCTTCCACTGGTTCTTCTCATAGAGGCCTGCTTGGAACAGTTCCTCCACCCTTGGCTACTCTCTCACCAGCATCCTATGTGCATTCTTCACAGCATTTCTCAGTCTGGAAGATTGTTTGACTTGTGTTTGCGCATTTAATAGCTGATTCCTTTACCAAAGTGCAATTTCGGTGAGGGTAAGGATTTCATTTATCTTATTAACTTTTGTATCCTGAACACCTGCTTGTCTGGCACAAAGCAGAAGTGTAATATCTGTTGAATGAATAGATAAATGAAGGAATGAATGAACCAGCAGGTAGCAACCAGTGCATCTGGCGATGGCCCCCCGGCCTGGGGAGAAAGTGTGAGCTCCAGTTTTCTTCCTGGGAGGCAGTGCTCATCTCCGTCCTCTCTGACTGTTGTTTTGCAGGGAATGACACCACTCCACTGGGCGGCTTTCCACAACCAGCTTCAACACACCCAAATGCTGCTGAAGAAGGGGGCAGACCCCACCCTTGTGGATAAAGACTTTAAAACAGCTCTTCACTGGGCAGTTCAGGTGAGAAATTGACCAGTGGACTGGTCTCAGGTTTAAATGGTGGAAAGCAGTGTTGACAATTTTCTGAGTAGGTCAAACTTTATAGATGGAGGTTTCAGCTCTTCAGCTCTACCACTTACTGAAGCAAAACCCTGCCAAGATGCAGAGGGGAGGAGTTATAGAATATCAAGCAGAGCCTGCCTTGGGTGTCACACACAGACACAGACACACACATACCCTCTCACTCTCTTTTTCTCTCCATTTCGGTGCTTGCTACCGGCTTACTGTGTCCCAGAGTAAATCTTCAAAGAATTGCTGGGAAAATGCCTTCAAAGTCTTTGAACCGTGACGTTCTGACTCTCCTTGCTTCCAAATCCTCCCCAGCGGAGTCATTTGAATTTGGCAATCCTGAATTCTACACCCGACAGTGGAAGTAGAGGTTCATGATCCTGCATCACTATCACATGAGGGAGTCTACGTCAGTACACACCTCCAAAGCAATCAGATTAGGCTAAATAAATCTATTGTCCAGAGAGGGCAAAACTGAGAATAAGGTGAAAAAATAACAATCACTAACATATACAGAGTGCTTTCTATTTTAAAGAGGAATGATTAACTTAGTTATCTCTTCTTTTTTTTGAGGAGAGTAGTACCGCTCTGACTTCAACACAGACACCCCCACAGTTGATTTCTGTTGGCCCAGAAAGGGCACCTGTTTGAGCTGCTGCCAGGACTCTGTGAGAGCAGTTTCTGCTGCCCTGACTGTGGTTTCAGTCAGCATTTCTATGTGCCAAGTACAGCAGAAGTGGGCACCTGGGACTTTCAGGATTGACATGTGTGCCTGATGTAAGGGGAAAACAGAAGTGATCTAGAAACTGCTCTGTTTTCATCCCCCCAACCGTGGCTTCAGTTTCTCTGCACCAGGGGCAGCCCTGGGCAAAGCTATGCAGTGAGCAAAGCTTGTCTTATCATCTCTACCTGCCCATAGCACCCTCCTACATACTTTCAGGATCTAATCACCTGCCCGCCCCATCACTGCCAGTCTCTGCCCAGGACCCCATGCCCTGGGGCTGGCCTCTGGCTGGTCAGGGATCACCACTGTAGCAGTGGCCCCAGAGGAACCTGGCTGGGCTCCCAAGAAGCTCCCCATGTGTTATTTCTCAGCTGAGATGAAAGGGGCACCAGAGGCAGGCATTTTCTACATAGTCACCTCCACACCACTACATTCTGATTCCCTAGATCTGGGATGCATGTGCATTTTGAAAAACCTCCCCAAGTAATTCTGACTGACATGCATCCCCCTTCCACCACCCCAGCCTCAGTGTAGAGCTGCTGTCTTAGACCTGGCCTTGCAATGCAGTCACCAGCAGTGATTGTAAAACAACAGATTCCCAGATCCCCTTTGGGCTCTCACAGGGTGGGAATCCCTGTTCTTATCCCCTAAGAGGCACTTTGGCAAAATCATAAGAACAACCTAGTCAACTCTGAAGATTTGAGTTTGCATTAATAACCTTGGGTTGGCTTAACTGATAAGGATATCTTTGGTGTCAGAATGAGACCATGCATATGACAGTGATATGGAATGTCCTATGTAATTGGAAGAGATAGTCATTTTTATTAGGGTTCCTGATTTTCTCCATGGAAACTTAGTTATTATATCCATGCCTTCATATTCTTTCTCTTTTTTTATATTTACCAGTTTTATAGCTGCCAGGACTCCATACCCTGGGGCTGGCCTCTGGCTGGTCAGGGTCACCACTGTAGCAGTGGCCCCAAAGGAACCTGGCTGGGCTCCCAGGACGCTCCCCATGTATTGGTTCTCAGCTGGCTGAAAGTGGCACCAGATGCAGGCATTTTCTGTATCGTCACCTCAACACCACTGGGCTTTGATTCCCTAGGCCTGGGATGCATGTGGCACCAGAGTATAAATGATATTGCAAAGGATACAGATAAAGAGACAGGTAGGGCAAGGTATGGGGGAACAAACACGGAGCTTCATGCCCTCTCTCGGTGTGCCACCCTCCAGAAACCTCCACGTGTTCAGCTACCTGGAAGCTCCCATATTCTTTGTCTCTACTGACACGGCTTGTAACCTACTACATTGATTTCAGCCCTGTCTGCACCATGGAATAATCCGAAGAGGTTTTAAAAACAATACTCACGTCCAGGCCTCACCTCTTAGATTTTCATTCAATTGTTCTGGGGTCGGGCCCAGCCATCAATATTGTTTTAAACTGGAGCTAGCCATGGTGGCACGGAGGCAGGAGGATCATCTGAGCCCAGGAGCTTGAGGTCAAGCTATGTAATGCAATGAGACCCTGGGCTCATAAAACAATACACTTGTATTGGCCGGGTGCTATGGCTCATGCCTATAATCTCACCACTTTGGGAATCCAAGGCAGGAGAATTACTTGAGGCCAGGAGTTCAAGACTAGCCTGGGCAATATAGCAAGACTCCATCTCTAT